TAATTACAATGGGTCTCATTCCCTTGACCCTGAAAGAGTTACCAATATGGCAGCATTGAGAAGGATGAGAAAGTAGAGGCTGATAAAATCTCAAGGCCGAATTAGGCTGCCCAAATGAAGAAAGACAAAAATGATTGTCTGTCTTTATTTTTTTTCCATAATTTTATTTATTTATTTTTCTTCTTATATTTATTTATTGAATCACTGTGGGAAAAGTTACAAAGCTTTCAGGTTTAAGTCTCGGTCATACAATGATCAAACACCTTTCCCTCCACCAGTAGTCATTTTTCACCACCAAGAACCCCAATATACCCCCCTCCCACCCTTCCCAATGCCTGTGAGGCAGATGATTTCTACATAACTCTTCTCTACATTGATTACATTCATTATTTCGACAGAAGATGCACCATTATTGTTTAGAATCCCCCCCCCCCCAACAATCAGAATTGCTGAAAAGGGATTGTGAAATACTTTGTCTTCTATAGCTGGTTATGAAAATCATATAATGTCACATGGCCACTATCGCGGCCATGCGAATTTTGAATTTCTGCAAAGAGCTAAATAATTACAAGATTGGTTTCTGTGTGTCTGGTGTTATGGCTGTGCGAGAGAGTTGCTTGTGGGGGGCAACTCGTGACCTCGGTAGGGTGTGAAGGATGAGCTGGGACTGCCCTCCTTCCCATGAGACTGCAGTTGCCCTGTCACTGCCGGCTCATACCTGGCTTTCCTATAAGCTCTGAGGTGGGAGCCACCTTGCTGTCGGGGGGTGGGGGGAAGGCGGAAGGGAGCAACACCCTTTGCCTCCCGGGGAGGCATGGTGTCGTAGTTTAATCCATTCACTTTTCTGCTGCAAGCTGCCAGTCTCTGGACTAAGTCCTCTTGCCTCTGAAGCCGTGGCTGTGCCCGAGAGCCGCTCGTGGAGGCAACTCATGACCTCAGTAGGGTGTGAAGGACGAGCCAGTACTGTCCCCCTTCCCATGAGACTGCAGTTGTCCTGTCACTGCCAGCTCATACCTGGCTTTCCAATAAGCTCTGAGGCGGCGGCCACCTTGCTGCTGGGGGAGAAAAAGGTGGAAGGGAGTAATACCCTTTCCCTCCCGGGGAGGCATGGTGCCGTAGTTTAATGCATGGTCCATTCAGTTTTCTGCCGCATGCTGCCGAGCTCTGGATTAAGTCTTTTTGCCTCTGGATCCATGGCTGTGCTGGAGAGCCACTTGTGGGGGGCAACTCATGACCTCAGTAGGGCATGAAGGATAAGCCAGTGCCGCCCTCCTTCCCATGAGACTGCAGTTGCCTCACCACCACCGGCTCATACCTGGCTTTCCAATAAGCTCTGAGGTGGCGGCCACCTTGTATGCGATCCAGATGCATTTCTACCAAAAGCCACTGGGTTTCAAGATTTGTTTCTGAGTCTGTGGGATCATGGCCATTAAGCAGTTTGATCAAGGAACCAGAGAGGCCAGGCCTCCAATTATATAGCCAAGCCGGAGGTGGTTTGTGAGTGTGTCTCCCACATACCTAATTTTTGGCCATTTACTTTCTCGGTAAACTTTGCCCCAAGTTTTTGGGGTCTGTCCAAAGGCACAGCAGCAATTTTGGGGTATCTGAAAGTGTGATGGTGCCATCAGGCTGCTGATGCATTCGCCTCACAGGTACAGATTGACCTGCTGGTGGCACCATACCCCCGACTGTCTGTACTGTCAATGCACGTACACTGGCATCGGATGCATCGAGGACCTGATGGTACGAGTGCAAAAGATGAAGTATGACATCATTGGTCTGACCGAGAACAGAAGGCATCAATCACATCACACCATTTTCGACACTTGAGAAGAACTATTCCTCAGAACATGCAACAAAAGAGGCGTCGGTGGTGTTGATGTCCTTGTCAACATGAACTTGGCCATAAGCATTGATTTATTTGATTTCCTAACAACCCGAATCAGACGATTACTGTTGATAATTAGAAGAATATTTGGTGAATATCCTTTCCCATTCTGTAGGCTGTCTTTGTATTCTGGTCTCTGTTTCTTTTGAGATAAAGAAGCTTCTTAGTTTAAGATAGTTCCATTTGTTTATCTTTGTTTCTCCTTGCTAGATCAGTGGAGTTTCGTCTTTGAAGATACCTTTAGCTTCAATGTCGTGGAGGGTTTTGATGACCTTTTTTCAGTGTACCTTATGGATTCTGGTCTGATGTTGAGGTCTTTAATCCATTTTTATCTGACTTTTGTGCATGAGGTAGAGGTCTGAGCCCATTTTTTTTTTTTTGCATGTAGTTGTCCAGTTTTGTTCGCACAATTTGTTAAAGAGGCTTTTTTTTTTTAATTTATTTATTGAATCACTGTGGGAAAGGTTACAAAGCTTTCAGGTTTAGGTCTCAGTCATGCAAATATCAAACACATTTCCCTTTACCAATACTTATTTTTTACCATGAAGAACCCCAATAAAACCCCACCCCCCACTCCTCCCAGTCCCTGTGAGGCAGATGAATTCTAGTTAACACTCTATCTGCTTTGATTAGATTCACTGTTTCAATAAAAGATTCACCACTATTATTTAGAGTTTACCCCCGCCCCCCAAATCAGACATGCTGAAAAAGCATTGTGAAGTGATTTGCTTTCTACAGCTGGGTTCAAGAATTAAATGTTGGTTTTGGATTTCTGCTATTTTACCTATTGACCCTGGAAGTATTTCTACTGAAAGTCAGATAGTTAAGAAATTGGTTTCTGTGTTCTGGAGTCGTGGCCGTGCTGGAGAGCCGCTCGTGGGGGGCAACTGGTGGCCTCGGTTAAAGAGGCTTTTCTTGCTCCACTTTATATTTCTTGCTTCCTTATCAAAGATTTGATGATCATATGTTTGAGGGTTTGTGTAAGGATATTCACACAATTCCATTGGCCTGTGGATCTGTCTTAGTTCCAATACCATGCTGTTTTAATTATTACCGCTTTATAGTAGAGTTTGAGGTTGGGGAGGATGATGCCTCCCATCTTTCCACCCCCCACGCTGCTATAGCTGTTCACGAGTGCTTGTGGTTCCATATGAATTTCAGGAGTGTTTGATCAATTTCTTTGAAAAATGTCATGGGTACGTTTGTAGGGATCGCATTGAATCTGTATAATGCTTCGGGGAGAATTGCCATTTTGACAGTGTTAATTCTCCCAATCTATGAACAGGGGATGTGTTTCCATTTCCTTGTGTCCTCTTTTGTTTCTTGAAGTAATGTTTTGTAGTTTTCTTTGTACAGGTCCTTTACCTCTTTAGTTAAGCTGATTCTGAGGTACCTGATTTTCTGAGGCGTGATTTTAAACAGGATTTTAAACAGGATTTTATCCCACTTTCTTCTGTTTCATTATTTGTGGATAGGAAAGCCATGGACTTTGGGTATTAGTTTTATAGCCTGTGACTTTACTATACAAGTCTGTTGTTTCTAGGAGCTTCTTGGTAGAGGCTTTAGGGTTCTCTAAATACAGTATGTCATCTGCAAATAGTGAGAGCTTAATATCTTCCTTTCCTATCTGGATGCCCTTCTTACCTAAAAAAGCAGAACAGTTTCTAAAGGGGATTGAATTCCAGCCACATATCATGATCTAACTTATAGTTTTACCTCTTATAAATATGCTCTTTGGTTTCAGTATTTATTGATTTTGTGTGTGTGTGTGTGTGTGTTTGTGTGTGTGCACGCGTGTGTGCACTTGTGAATATGCTACATCCAGCTCTGCTTACTCCTGGTTTTGTGCTCAGGGATCTCTCCTGGCAGTTTAGGGGACCATATGTGGGTGCTGGGGATCAAGCTAGAGTCAACCATATGCAAGATCTTGCCCCTGTCGTGTCTCTCTGACCAGTGTTCATTGATCATTTCATTGTTAGTGATTGAGTAAACTACTACTGGAAAGCAGTGGTTGCTGGCTTCCTCACAAGGGCGCCTGAGAACTGCTGCTGCACATCCCTTTCCAGCACATCCGTGCTCAGTGATGTTCTGATGGGCAGTTCAGGTTGGCCATGCTGGGAGTCGCTCCACCATTGGAAATAGGCAAAAGCACTAGATTAGGGACTGGGATGTGGGTTTATTACATGTGTCAAGTTCATTTCCCGACACAGTGAAAACAAAACAAAAATAAGCCTGCTACAAATCGGTCTTCCTCCACTACCCCAGAAAACTGATTGTTGAACACTTATTAGCACAGCGCTTTGCTGTTTGTCATATGTGTGAAAGGTGTTCAAATTAATATTGACTAAATAAATATTTATTAAGGTGTTCAAATTAATTTTGACTAAATAAATATTAAACGGATTTTCTCAGTAATAAGTGGCATTTGAATTTTGACTTCAGTAGGTTATTCCTTTTGTAGTTCATCGATTTGTTCCAGCAGGCACCAGTAACGTCTTCATTGTGAGACTTGTTGTTACTGTTTTTGGCATATCAAACGGGGAGCTTGCCAGGCTCTGCCGTGCGGGCGGGATACTCTTGGTAGCTTGTCTGGCTCTCCGACACAGGTGGAGGAATCAAACCCGGGTCGGCTGTGTGAAAGACAAACGCCGTATCAGCTGTGCTATCACTGCAACCCATTCCTTCTGTATATCAATCAAAGTGAGAGAGTAACAGTAATTTTTTGCTTTGTTTTTGAGCCACGCTTTGTGGTGCTCTGTGCTCAGGGATCACTCTGGTAGGGCCCAGGGCTCAGGGGACCATACGGTATGCCAGGGATCAAGGTTGACCACGAGCAAAGCAAGCACCCTACTTGCTGCTCTCCGACTTACTGTACTATCGCTCTTGCCTGAGAATAAACGATCTTAACTACAAAATAAGTTAAGTATTTGATGCAGTGAGTCCTTCATACATTTGTACTAAAAAATATTTGGGTCAAAAGAAGTTTCCTCTTACTGTTCATCTTCACAGATTTTCTGCACACTTGTAGAGATGCTGAGTATTCTCTTGGAGTCTGAAAGAGAGTAAGTATTTGGAACACTTTAAAGATAATATTTTATTACTTTGCTTTTAGGTGATTCCCCCTAAGGAGTGGAAGCCACGGCAGTGCTATGATGACATTGATAATTTGCTTATACCTGCACCAATTCAGCAGATGGTCACCGGGCAGTCAGGACTGTTCACTCAGTACAACATCCAGAAAAAAGCGATGACTGTGAAGGAATTCAGGCAGCTGGCCAACAGTGGCAAGTGAGTGAATTGTTACTCTCTCTTCTTTCAGAAATATGTGCGAGCCTGGTAAGATACTTCATAGACATTGGAATTTCCAAGAAGGCAGGAGTCTCCGGGAGAGTTTCTTTGTCCTCATGTAATGGTTTCTGAATTCTGTTCTTCACATGGTTGCCTGCTTCCATTCCTTTCTTACTGAGGAAACTGTTTCTCATTTTATCTATTCTTTTGCTTTTGGGGCGTCACCCAGTGATACTGCAGGTGGGGTCCAACTCTGTGCTTGGAGGTGACTCTGAGGGGTGCTTGGGGGACCTTGTGGTGCCTCGGATCAAGTGTGGGTATCCTGCGTGCAGAATATGCACTTGAACCGTCTCTCAGGTATCAGGGAGCCTCTCACAGATTTAATTTTTATTTTTGGCCACACTTGGTGATGCTCAGAGGTTACTCCTGGCTCTGCATTCAAGGATCACTTTTGGCAGTACTCAGGAGACCAAATGGGGTGCTGGGGATCAAATCCAGGTTGCCTGCGTGCAAGGCAAGAGCCCTACTCACTTAACTATCATTCCAGCCTTCTTCTCTAGAAGGTTTTTTTTTTTGTTGTTGTTGTTGGGTGGGGGGCACACCTGGCAGTGCTCAGGACTAAATTCTATCTTTGTGCTTAGATATCACTCCTGGCAGGTCAGGGAAATCATATGGGGTGCCAGGGTTCTAACTTGGGTCAGCCACTTGCAAAGCAAAAACCCTACTTGCTGTACTATTGCTCCAGCCCTCTGGAAGTCTTAATGAACATCTCTGCTGCCTTTTGCTGGGCTGGGATGGACCAAGACTCCCTGACTGCAGAGCTTGTGCCCCTGCCTTTTGAGCCATCTCTGTCTTTACTTTTGTATAACAATAAAATTGAGAGTGTAACAGTAATTTTTTTGTTTTGTTTTTTTGACCACTCCTGGTAGTACTCTGTGCTCAGGGATCACCTACTCCTGACTCAGATCTCTTACTAGCTTGTGTATCCTGTGCCTGGAATGGAAGTTTTAGAATGAAGCAGAGTTAATGATGTTTTTTCCATTTTGTCCTCCCTGTCAAAATGAAACTCTGTCAGGTTCCAGGTTTTTTTTTTTTTTTCTAGTAAATCAGCTAATTATTTGTTAGCATTTTGAATGCAGTTGTTAATTTTGCTGCTGTCTGGTTAGGGTTTCTAGCATAGTAGATGGAGATATTATTGATCATTCTATTGAATTCAATTCAGTCGAACATAGGCAGGTCCTAAATTACTCTCATTTTGTTGATTACTGTTGTTATTTTTTTTTAAAATAACATACAAATATAGATTTTTTCTTTTTTGGTTGATACTATGAGTGTTCTTCAGGGCCACAGAGATAGTACAGGAGGTCAGGTGCTTGCTCTGTATGTAGCTGACTTAGGTTTCGATGGTATCATATAGGGTTCCACGAGCACCTCCAGGCGTCAGCTTTTAAGCACAGAGCCAAGAGTAGTCCTGGGCACTGCTCCTTCCCAATTATCCTTCAAAGTTCAAATAATATAAGTAGCTGTGATTTTGTAATTTTTCATGTGAAATTACCATTAACACATTAATAGTAATAATTTGCTAGCTGGCTGACAAACAGCTATAAGTCTTTTTTGTTTGTTTGTTTGTTTTGGGGCTATACCCAGCTGTGCTTAGGAATCATTTCTAGTGGGGGTCAGGAGACCATTTGGGGTGGTAGGGATCGAATTGGGTTGGCCTGGTGCAGGGCAAGTGCCAGACCTGCTGTACTATTGCCCTAGCCATGAATTACAATATGTATCGCGCGCGCACGTGTGTGTGTGTGTATGTGTGTATGTGTCTTTTTGTGTCATACCTGGTAATGCTCAGGGGCTCTGAACTCAGAAATTACTCCTAACAGTACTCTAGGAACCATATGGGATGCTGGGGATCAAACCCGTTTTGGACACATGCAAGGAAAAGACCCTCCCCAGTGTACTGTCAGTCTGGCCCCGAGTTACAAATATTTTCATATGTATAGAATTATATCACTCTTCTTAACTTGTTTTATACACAGTGGAAAGATTTTAGTGTTTGTATATATAGAGAATTACCTTATTTTGTCATTCTATTTAAATAGGCCTAGTTGCTGGATATTAGCTTGAGTTTTCAGTTAATGCTGCAGCCCAAAGTCATTCCTGTTGTTCCTTTTTCAAATAGGGGCCATTCCAGCAGTGATGAAGGTCCAGGGCCCCTTCCAGTGGTGCTTTGTGGGCCATGCAGTGCTAGGAAACACGTTTAGGGTCTCAGCCATGCACTGCATCTCTTTAAGCCATCTCCCTCACTCAAAGCTATACATGTTTTAAGGCCTTTGTTTTTCTGAAATATTATGCTTGAAGGTACTTGCCAGTTTATGTTCTGGTAAGAAAGGTTTCATTTTTTCTTACCATTAATTTATGATATACTTGTTAATCTAATAGTGGTACAATTTTGGTTTTACTTTAATGTCTTTAATTTAATACTGTCTTTTGTCAATTTTGTAATTGGTGTTTTGTCTCTTACATGTAAATTTGTAAAATTTCCTAGTCTGTTTCCTGTATATATAATTTTCCTAAATGTGTTCTCCAGCATTGCATGGCCCACCAGGCAGTGTAGTATAATGACCTAAAGACTTCAGAAAATCAGGTTTAAGTGATAGTACAGCAAATAGGGCACTTTCTTTGACCTGCTGAGTCGAGTTCGATCCCCAGCACCCCATATGATCTCCTGAGCACCACCAGGAGTGCTCTCTGAGCACAGAGTCAGGAGTAACCTCTAAGCACAGATAGGTATGGGTCCCCAAACAGACAACAAGCAATAAACAACAATAACAATAACAACAAAAGATTTTAGAAAATACTTTAAAAGCAAATGAATTTTACTTAAATTTTAAGTTTTGTTTTAGGATTTTGGGCTACCCCTGGTGGAGCTCAGGGGACCTTATATATGTGTTGCTGGTATTGAACTGGGATTGAATGTGGGTCAGCTCCATGCAGAAGCAAGTGCCTTAACCCCTGGCTTGTGCTGTCTCTCTGGGCCCTGATTTGTCACTGACTTTTGCTTCTAATCCTTCTATTTTCATGAATCACTTAATCACTTAATCACTTAGCTTCCCGTTAGTCGTCGATTTGCTCGAGCGGGCGCCAGTAACGTCTCCATTTTCATGAAAGTGTTTACTAATCAAAACGATGAAGTTAGCATATAGTTATTTACGAACCTATACAGTAATTTAAAGAGTTAAAGTATCTAAGTGAAAGAAGTGGGAAAAACTTAAAATGACCTTACTTGCTGTTTTTTCCCTAATCTACCTTTTGCAGATATTGTACTCCAAGATACTTGGATTATGAAGATTTGGAACGCAAATACTGGAAGAACTTAACTTTTGTGGCTCCTATCTATGGCGCAGACATTAATGGGAGCATATATGATGAGGTATAGTATGTTACAGTAGATTTTTCACGGGGTAGTTTCATGTTGCTGTTTTGATTACCATTTGAGGCAGTTCTGAAGTTGTTAAGCTTTAAGTGATTCAGAATTCCTCACATCAGAGGAAGGAATGAAGAGCACCCGAGAAGGCCTTCTGCTGCTGGTAGTTTTCAAATTGAAACCAGCCAGTTGTACGTGTATCTGAGAGTATAATGATAGTATAAAATGTGGGTACCTGATATTTAAATTACAAAAGAAATTTAAAGGACATACGAGAAATATTAAATTATGATTTTGATACAGTTGTTATACCTTCACCACCACCAAAGTGCCTAAGACCTCCCTCCATTCCTGCGCCTTTTCAAGTCTTCCATCTTTCTTCTACCTCCGGCCTCCCTTTTTGACACTGACTTGTCTGTATACTTTTGAAAGTGGTGACAAGTCCATGGATACCCAATATATAAAGATTACTTAAATCTTCAGTCTCCTTATCTTTCCTGGACACAGTACCAATCACTGTATCCTGTATTAAATCAGTACTTTGTATATTTTGTATTTCAATTTCAAAAGCATTTTATTTGTTTTTGTGACTATTGACTCAGGGATTACATGAGATGGTTCTGTGGTCCAGGGGAATTTAACCAACCCAGGATATCATATTGATTCACATCCTTGACCCCTAAGTATTTTTTGGGAAATTGCTCCTGACAGTGCTTGGGGTCCCATGTGGTGCTGGGGATGTGACTTGGAGCTCCTGCTTACAATACATGGACAAGCCTTTAGATAATGTCTCCCTGGCTCCCCGGTGCATTTGCTTTTTGTTTGTTTTTTGCGCCATACCCAGAGGTGCTCAGGGCTTACTCTGGGCTCTGTGCTCAGATGACTCACTCCTGGTGAGCTTCAGGGGACCATATGTATTGTTGGGGATAGAACCCAGGTTCACTGCATGCAAGGCAAGCACCCTACCCACTGTACTATAGCTCTGGTCTTCCCAGACATGTTTGTATCTGTTGTTTTATTAGTGATAAAAAGTCTCTTTCAGGTTTAACATATTATAACTGCTTTAGTGGAAAATAACTTGTAAGGCTTCCTTAAGGAATTTGGGAAAATAATTGCTGTAAGGTTTCCTTAAGGAACTTGGCTTCTTACTTATTAGACCACCTTCTGTGATCTTTTCGTTGGAATGGCGAGGCAGAGAATTGAGTGTTAGCATTTACAGTTGGGATCCTGAGAGGTTTTCTCAACCTCCCAAGGGTGCTTTGTGCTTGCATTCTTCCATCCCTGTTTTAAGGAAGCAGCCATATATTGTCCATCTTGCAGTTGTGAAATGTGTACAATTAGATGATGTCATCAACAAGTTTTTCCCGAGCTAATGGAAATTTTGTGCTTGCTATGTACTTTCTCCCCTTTGGGGTATCCTGGCAAGTTTCCAGGCTTTTGAAAGGAAGACTGAGCGGAGGAATCATCTGGATATTAGGCTGAGAGGTTGTGTATCTTGCTGCTTTCCAGTACATAAAACTGAGTTTTATTTTTGTGAGTGCTACTTGGAATCATTGACCTCCTTATTCCTTAACATATATTTAAGAGAAATAGTATCTTTAGGGTGATTTTCAGAACAATTGACTTTATACTGCAAACTAGCTTTTTTATATCTGGTAATGAAATTGCCTTTGTTGATGGCTCAGATGAAGCTGATGGACTTTGATTTGCTGTGCTGATCAATTTACTGCTTGTGTTTGAAAACCACTTACACATTGGCATTGTTTCAAGAGGAACATTGACTTGAGCCTTCAGATTTGAGTAACTTTGGTTATTAAAATCCAATGTACGAAACCCACTGGTTTATAAACATGCACTTTGAAAACATTCTCATCATTTACAGGTTTTGGAGCCATGATTCTGTCATTTTGGTGGAACCTACAAGGCATAGTATTTTATGGAATTTCTGTAGACTCTGTGGGAGCATTTAATAGCTCCAGAGCTGAGCTGACACTTTCAGTGTGTTGGTAGCATAAAGAAAGAAATGAGAGACGTTGTAAACTGCTACTGGTAAATAAAACTAATCACACTCAAGACACTAAAGTTCAAACAAATGAAAAATAACTTGTGCTTCCCCCCTGGAGTTAGATGGAGAGTAATGAGGAATTAACAACATTATATAGCGTGATGAAGAGTGAATGTAATAATAACCCGTAACTGTCAGGAGTGTTTGAAATCATCACAATGAATGTGTGTGGAAACAGCCTGTGTATTCTTTCACTGTTTACTGTTGTATCCTTTCATTGTTTAACTCTTTAACTCAGTATTTCACTTATAGTGGGCATGAGTTATGATTCATGGCGTTATTTTATTTTAGTTTTTATAAATGTGTTCTTCATTTATTTTTACCCTCAATGCTCTTTAGGAACATGACATGCTCCTGTTAACAGAAGTAGCGCTTTCTGGGCATCTTATGTTAAAATAGAAACAATTTTTCCTCTGCCAGATACAAATTTCATATTTCCCTCCCCTCACTGTCATGCATCCAATATTTTGCTCTGTTAGTTCTTTTGGTGCTCAGCCCCATACACCATTCATTTGTGTTATGTCCACATACTCAACACTCTCCCAGTACTTTTTTCTATATCACCTCATTTATTTCTCATGACTTGCTGCAAATTGTAGATAAAGGAAACAGATTCAGAAAAGTGAAGTGATTGTTATAGGGTGATAGAGTAGTGAGTAACGTAAACCAAGATTTACAGCCAAACGCAACTCCAGAGCTCATCTTCTCTTCTCCCTGACGACACTTCTTTTTATGGGCCATCTTCCGTAAGATCCATTTTCATGTAGAATTTGTTTTTTTCATCATGTTCCTTCATTTTTATTTATTTATTTTTAAGGGCCACTTCTTGAGGTACTCAGACCTACTTTTGACTCCTTGCTCAGGGGTTGTTCCGGGGTCAAACCTGGATATCTGCAACACAGAGAAGCTCATGGCATTAATTTGAAAGGAATCATCAAATGCATTTCACTCCCCCGCCACCTTAATTTTCACTTATGGCCTCTTCCTTTACTAATAAAGGGGTTGGGAAGATAGCTTGGAGACATGGAACACATTCTTTGCATGCAAGAGGCTCTGAGTTTAATCCTGGACACAGCTGGTTATGGCGTGGGTAGCCCCAAACATGAACCATGAGGTTTGTATCTGTGGGTCAGAAATGGCCCCTGAGAACCAGAGCACTGGGGAGGTATTTTTGTGTATATATCTATATCTATGAATAGATATATATGGTCGTGATATATATATACATATACATATATATGTAGATAGGTAGATATACACACACCTTTTATAAGAATGATAGAAAAAACAAAGTCTTTTTATTTTTGTGGGGGTGGAAGTTCATGGAGAGAGTTTGAGAGGTCAGAGAAATACTTTGAGTAGGATAGAGAAAAGTCCTGAATAAGGACTTTTTTTCTCAAGTAATTCACAATCTCAGAGGGACAGAGGACCAAACCAATGTAATGAATTTAGTCTGCAAGTGTAGGCTTTCATGGAGTCTGACAGAGGCATATAGGACAGGTCCGTCCTTTGCAGGAAGACTTTTGGGGGGGGGGGGGTGGAGGAGGGGAGGCTGGAGCGATAGCACAGCGGTAGGGCATTTGCCTTGCACACAGCCAGCTAGGCCGAGCCAGGTTCCATTCCTCCGCCCCTCTCACAGAGCCCGGCAAGCTACCGAGAGTATCTCGCCCACACGGCAAAGCCTGGCAAGCTACCCGTGACGTATTCGATATGCTAAACACAGTAACAACAAGCCTTAAAATGGAGACATTACTGGGCCCGCTCAAGCAAATCAATGAACAACGGGAGGACAGTGACAGTGAATCTAGGAGTACGGCTATTTATTCAGCCGTTGATTAAGCTGATTTAACTGGGCATGAACTCCAAAGCAGTATTAGTGTTTTTGGGTTTTTGGGTTGCCCCCAGTGGTGCTCACGCACTTCTCACAGCTCTCCCCTTGGGGGACTGAACCCTGGCTTCCCACATCAAAGCATCTGGCTCAGAAGGAAAACTAGAGGAGAGGGACGCCCTTAATGTGGTTCTGAAGAATAAATTCAGGTCAGGGGCAGGAGGGAGAAGGGAGATTGGGGCAGGAGAGGGTCTATTTGAGAAGACACCTCTCAGTTGGGAGGCTTTCGGTTGCGCCTGGCCTTGAGAAATAGGAGATAGACATGGGACAGGGGCTGTGGATTTGGGTGAGGAGTCAGTCTGATTTTTGCTTGGTTTTGTTTTTTGTTTGGGGGCCACACCTGGCAATACCCAGAGGTTACTTCAGACTCTGCACTCAGGAATTAATTCTTGGCGGTGCTCAGGGACCATATGGGATGCTGGAGACCAAATCTGGGTCAGCTGTGTGCCAGACAAGTGCCCTACCTGTTGTTCTAGCTCTCCAGCCCTTTCTCGTCCTCCTTTTTCTGGGATCACATCTAGTGGTGCTCAGTGCTTACTCCTGGCTCTGTGCTCAGGGGTCACTCCTGGTAGTGTTTGGGGTACCACATGGGGTGCTGGGAATTGAACTTGGTCAGCCATGTGCAAGGCCTTACCCTCTGTACTCTCTTTCCTGCCGCCTCTTGGGTTCTCTTTCTAATCTTCCTTTTCAGTTTTCTTGTTGGTAGATCATCTGGAAGAGTTTTACATATTTAAATTAAAAAAACCAAAACGACCTGTCTGGTAATGTAGATGTTAAATACAAAAATTGAAAAGTGTTGGAACCTGAGAGATAGTACAGGAGTTTTTCTTTTGCTTTTTGGGCTCATCTGGTGATGCTCAGGGGTTACTCCTGGCTCTGCGCTCTAGAATTACCTCTGGTTGTGTTCAGGGGACCATATAGAATGCCAGGGATTGAACTCGGGATGGCTGCATGCAAGGCAAATACCCTACCCACTGTACTATCACTTCAGCACCCAACAGTACAGGAGTTGAGGCACTTGCTTACATGCAGATAAGCTTGTTTCAGTCTCTG